ACTTTGACCTTTACAGAGCCATTTTTTTCCGTGCCTGTCAGAGTTTCTCCGGTCATCGGCAGTTTTTCCTGATCCATCTCGTTCAGTTCTACATCCTTCATGTCGTCTTCTTTATTCATTTTTGATGGTGATTTCAGAGCGGTCCGTTTAACCCTCTGTGGAACTACTTATGAAATCACAGAGAGAAAAAATAAATGACATTATATTTCACATTTATTTAAGAATCTGACCCTTTGGCATTTATTATTGTTTCATCATTTATAATTGACTCATTAGGGTAAATTATTTTTCACTATCATCAATACTTTCAGGAAAAGTACAGCTTTTTATCCCGGTCTTCTGTAAAACTTACTAACATCAACCTAAAACACAGGCAAAAAGGATATTGTAGTGCCTGCCAATAATGAACAATAGTGCCAGCTACACAGAAAATATGTATCCCCTAAGGACACAGATTTTTTTTTTTGGTCTTTGAGTTATTGACTTTACAAAATGTGCATTAAAAATGACCAAAAACTTTTAGATGTACAATGATATATTTTTAATTGAATTTACGTATTTCCTAATCTAAAATGTACCCACAATGGAGTCTTAAAACTTAAAAGCATGTGACCTAACATTTGCTAACGTCTCTTTCACTTCCTTTTTGCCAAAAGTGTCAAGCACATGGCTAATATTTTAATTTTATTGGCTGAAGGGGAGGTCAATGGTTAATACTAACCTGTAATTATTATTATTATTCTTTTGTTAATGTTTAATATTTTTGTTTTCTTTTAAATGCAATTTTCTCTGTGTAAATCATAAGTGACGATACATAGAAAGTAAAAGGAAAATGATTACCCAATATAACCCCTAAAAGACTAACTCAAAACAAACAAACACATAAATGTCTTACTAAAAATCAACAACAAAAAAGAAAGATTTTGAAGGCGTTTCAAATTTGTTTGCAGCATTCCATATTAGGCTACTTTACATAATTATGTTTTTATAAAAGTAGTCTATGTTAACACAGAGTAGTCTTAATGAATGAATAAATGAAGGAGACATACCTGCAAAAAGAAGACGCTTCCGTTTTCTAGCAGGACTCGCGCCGTTAAACTCTACAGAGCCCAGATCTGATGCTCAATGCCGTTTATATAGTGGCGACTCCACTTGCATCTGCCCATTCGCTATTGAAGGAGGAACTCCAGTAACTTGGAAACAGATAAGACCACAATAGCCGTCGGCGACGACATCAAAACTACACTTTTTAATGTACTTTACTGAATTTGCATAGGCTTACTGCTCGAGAAGTCACAATACAATCACGACGGTAATACAATCATAGATCCTTAAAGAGCCACCTTAAATATTCCCTCCTGACCGAGCGCATCATTGAGCCTGAGTTCACGTGAGTGGACTGGAATTCATCCTGAAAAAACATCCCCATGAGAACCACTACATCTCTCTCTGATTAAACAGAAAATAGTTGAGGAGTAAAAGCCCAAAAAAAAAAAAAAAAAAATCATAGTAATCAAAAAGCGCTTACTCACAACATTCTGGCAGTCTTCTTAAAGGAGTAGTTCACTTTTTTAAAAAAAACTTTTGCTGATAATTTACTCACCCCCATGTGATCCAAGATGTCCATGTCATTCTTTCTTCAGTCGAAAAGAAATGAAGGTTTTTGATGAAAACATTCCAGGATTTTTCTCCATATAATAGACTTTACTGGCAACCAAACGGTTCAAGGTCCAAAAGACAGTTTCAGTGCAAACTGCAAACTGTTCAAAGGGCTTTAAACGACACCAGACGACGAATAAGGGTCGTATCTAGCGAAACGATCGCTCATTTAAAAAACAAAACAAAGTTTAAGTTTTATAAGCTCAAATGGTCGCCTTGCTCTGTTCTGTGATGCATGTTTGTGATTCTCCTGTTCGAACCGGTTCGAACTCGTTTATCAGTCAATTAGTTCATTTCGTTCGTTGAATGAACCAAATGACACAAAAAAGATTTGTTCGTTTTCATAAACAAGTTCAAACAGGAGAGTCACGAACGGGCATCACAGAACAGAGCGACCATTTGAGATTATAAAACTTAAACTTAGTTGTTGTTTTTTTTACTGAGGGATCGTTTCACTTGATAAGACCCTTATTCATCGTCTGGAATCGTTTAAAGCCCTTTGAACAGTTTGCACTGAAACTGTCTTTTGGACCTTGAACCGTTTGGTTGCCAGTAAAGTCCATTATATGGAGAAAAATCCTGGAATGTTTTTACCAAAAACCTTAATTTGTTTTCGACTGAAGAAATAATGACATGGAGGTCTTGGATGACATGCGGGTGAGTAAATTATCAGCAAAAGTTTTTTTTTTTAAAAGCGAACTACTCCTTTAAGACTACCCTGAACAGCAATAGCCATAAAGTGCAGTGTTTAAACTGTATTTATAGCACAATCATGTCATAAAACATTGGGTTGAGCTTTCTGTAACAAAGATCCTGCACACAAAGGCTGCATAATTTGATCAAGATAATGCCTGTTGATAAGAGATCTATAAAAGCAAGTTTCCCTCAAGTAAAACATTAGAAAGAAAATTGCTCATCCTGATTGCCTTTGATGAGTTGTTTCATATATGAAAATGAAGGCTAAAACACATGTTTTATTTTATGTCTGTTTTTCTTTTCTTTTCCAGAAAAAGTACATGCCTACATCCCTGCTTGCTTTACAATGGAAGGACGGAACAACACAAGTGAGGGATTTTATAACGACACATGGCATACTTTCCACACTTGTTGTTGGCTCGACCAGCATTGTGCAATGTGCAGTCAGTAACTTTATCTCATGACTGTAGTTGTCATGATTCCTTCCAATAGCAATCTCATCACAATGAACATTGTACTTCCAACTCTACTGTGCTTCCCTCTTTATTTTGAACTTTTATGGCGTTGTTCAGCAAATAAATACTCGGAAAAATTCGCTCTCCTGCCAATGTTCACTTTCCCTCTCAGCCTACCAAGAGAACAATGTGCGAGTGTTTTTCCCATGTGACAGAACAGTATGTTGGCCCCTTCTGCCTCACAGTGAGGAGAATTTCAAACAGTCCCTGGGCGGCAGGGTCACAGGGATTACCAATAATTCTCTCTGTGCTGGGACACTGTCTTTTCCAAACTCAGCTTTAAAGCATCCTGTAGTGTTCTAATCTAATCAGCCTGAGATTGTCCATAAATTCCTATAGATTTGTGCTTGCAAAGTTCATAATTACACTGTTCAGAAGTTTGAGGTCAGTTATATTTTTTATGTTTTTGAAAGAAGTCTCTCATGCTTACCAAAACAGCATTTATGTGATCAAAAATACAGTAATATTGTAATATTATTACAATTTAAAAGAAGATATATTTTCGATTTAAATATATATTAAAAGCTGAATTTTCAGGATGATTACTCCGGTCATTTTGGTTCAAATTGTGAGGCCACCAAGCCCCATTCACGTGGGATGAAGCGACATGATCCCATTTATTTTCAATGAGGGCTGGCAACTTCCATTAGAAGCCGATAGAATGTCAAGCAGCGCGAGTCAGGTGACAAAAATGTTACTTAATGCAAATGAGCAGCGACAGGGACCCCTAGAATAGTCCCCACCTTTCGCCCTGCTAGTGATAGCCCTGCCCTCACAAAACAAAAACAGCAGACAGAGTGAATGAAATTGCAAATTCACTCTCTGACAGTAGGTGGCGCTTATCGAACAATAGCGAAATAGCATTTCCTTAGTTACCGCTGTACTTTAGAGCATAGCATGTAGGTCAACCAACAGACATCCATCTAAGGCGACCATTTGAATTCGCCCATCCCACTCCCACAAAAAAAATCCTGTCCCGTCCCAATCCCACGAAAAAACATCCAATCCCATCCCAATCCCGGAAGAATGACTCCGATTCCCTCCCACTCCCGTCCCGTGTTGTGTTTTTTAGACCGGAATCTGTCAGTTACAGTAAAACTGTAAAACTGGGTTGTTTGGATGACACGCGCACTCTCTCGCTCGCTTTCCCTCTCTGCCGTGTGCGCGCGCTAGGCGGTTTGAAGCATAATTTCTGTCTCGCCAGCACACTCGCTCTAGATTCCGGGTGAATTTAACTAATTTGCAGATTAACTACTCGATCACGAGTGGCTCAACAGGTGGATATATAGAGCTGGTAAGTCCCGCCCCTTCCGCTAACCCCGCTGGACCTCTAGGTTGAAAAATCGTCAATGCAAGTGAATGAGAGAAAATAATTTTTTTCTAATCCCTTTTGAATTTTGCAACGAAAGTGAACATATGTTGTCTGTGAATTTTTAATATAATTTTTTGTGTAAAGAATGCTACAATTTAGCGGGTAGAATTTCCATACGGTTAGACTTTGTGTGAGAGCACTTTGTGGACTACAAAGTATCCCGCTAAACATCCCTGTGTCTTTGGTGCACTTCACCGCCTTCAACACACAGGCATCTCGATCTAATTCCTTAGATTATCGCACCGTGATTTGTGGAGGGAAAATGTGTTATGCGGTGACGTCACATATTCGACGTGTAGTCTTTCTCGTTGTCTATTCCACAACTGCTAGCCAAAGAATCATACAATATACTGACAAACTCGTTACATGAGAAATTATATAAAAAATTCACAGACAGCATATGCTCACATTCGTGGCACAATTCAAACGGGATCAGAAAATAATTATTTCTCTCATTCACTTGCATTGTCGCTTTTCAGTCTAGACGAGGTCCACTTGGAGTTTTACGGATGGGCGGGACTTACCAGCTCTATAGAAAAACTCATCTTCCAGGCATTTGACTGACCACGTTGAAACTTCAACGTGAGAAATCAGGGGTGTGGCGTGTGAAACCAATCAAATGCGGGTGTATTACGGCCAATATGCATGAGAGTTGGCAACTGGAACGGTACTGGTTGTGCAGTGCTCTCTAGTGTTGTGCATGAAATTACATTCAACAGCAGACTAGGGTTAGCTAATGAAAAAACTGTTCAAGAACAGATAGTACATTCACATTTTAATTATCCACAGCTCCTAAATTTAGATCAAAAAGGAAATAGTTTACGAATTTAAAAAGTTTTAGGACAGTGCGTTCAGGTTTTTTGCAGGTGAGCCGGGGTGAATGCCAAAGGCAAGAGCTCTCTTAGACTGGTCTTCTTATAGGTCCCGTCTGGCTTAGTGAGGTAAACGTCCCATTCAGTACCAAACTAACAAAACACATGATTGGAGAGAATGATAAAATAAAATTAAGAGAGAAAGGCCATGATGTTCAAAAGTAATGACTGATAAAATATGAGCACACCCATACCTCCATTAATACCTGTCGACATGCACCACATGGTCCTACAAAACTATCTTTGATATCACTGTTGGTCAGATGGAAAGAAGGAAAATAAAATTTCTGTGTGATTCAAAAGGCAACATTTCAGTATGTGGAATATATGACATACCATGTGACAGCTATGGCTGTAAATCTTCGGTATCCTTCAGCGACCGCTCTCTGTATCGCAGTTCTCTCCGCACACACGGTCAGGCCATAGGAGGCATTCTCGACATTACAGCCTAAAACAAATAATGGAGGTCTAGATCACTCGAACAGCTTAATATCATAAACAGCTGAATATATGCAAGTATGTGGTTGAATCGTGTTGCTTCAAAACAAACATGAACAAGTGCATCTGGTTACCTGTGATAATGGCGCCCCCTGTCGTCAAAATGGCAGCGCCGACTGGAAACCCACTGTACGGACAGTAAGCCATTTCCCTTGCTTGCAAGCATTTAGCCACTAGTTCCGCAACTAAACCAGAACCGTACCCATAACAAAACAACAAAACGGGACAAAACAAAACCGCATCAAAACACATTTATTTACATAAATATAATGTACCTTACCACAAATGCATTAAGTACGAGGGATGCATTGCAAAACAGGTTTCGGGTTACTTACACATGCCAAACATACCAACTCTGTAACGTCCAGTAAATGCAAAGCCGCGTTAAATGGGTGTACATATGAAAAGCCCTATTTAAATGCCCAATTCATTCTAAAAATGTGGTTATTTTGCATGCAGGCTATTATTGGATTAAATGTTTACCTACCAGCCATAACAACCGTCTCGCTGGACTTGAGTATAATTGACAGCGCGTTTTTTTTTTTGTTTAAAAAAATATATAAAGAGGTTTTGTGAACAATTGTTGTTGACTTGCCAAGAATAATGATATTTCTGGGACGGGTGCTGTGACAGGACAACTGATGTTGATGATGCACGTGTTGTGGGCGGGGCAGACAACTCTAACAACCTATCAAAGACCTCCTTGCTAACAACCCTCCCATGAATTATTCAATCAGGTAACACTTTATTTCTATGGTCCACTTGACTTTACATTCTTTATTTATTTTTTTTTTGCTCCCCCAACAGACGCGAGTAACTTTGCTACTACATGTACATGTCTATTCTACTTACAGTAGGGTTAATATATATAATTGATGACTTTTATTGTTTTTAATTTGTGTATTTTGATAGTTACATTTTAAGTGTCTATACTTTCATGTAAAAAGAATGTAACGAAGTTAAAATGCTAAAAAAAAAAGAGAAACGGAAGCAGAGCAAGACATGGGTACCATAGATGTATAAAAGTCTGTGCCTTGATTGCTTAAAGGGATAGTTCACCCAAAAACGAAAATTCTGTCATTAATTACTCATCCTCATGTCGTTCCAAAACGATTGTTTTATATGAAACAGATTGAATTAAAGGCTTTTATTAACATATAAACATTCATCAACTCATAAACGGAAGCTAAAGCATGTTCGGTTCACATGCGAGAACCAATGAGATTCATTCTTGTGTTACGCATCACGTCTGAGCTTCAGCAAGAGGTTCAGCTTGTTTATGTTCGCTGATCAATGTTTATACGTGAATAAAAGCCTAAATTAAATCTCTTCATAGATTTATCATAAGCAATCATGTCTCTTCAGACTAAACTGCTCAACTCATATGGATTAGTTTTATGATCTCTTTGTGAACTTTTTTGAAGTGTCAAAGTGTCAGTTGTGGATGTCAATGAAGGGACAGAAATCTCTCTAAATTCATCAAAAAGATCTGTATTTGTGTTCTGAAAATGGACGAAAGTCTTGCAGGTTTGAGGATGAGTAAATGAGAACTGAATTAAAATTTATGGGTGAACTGTCGCTTTAATTTGCAACACTCAAGCAATGTTTAATTATTAAATAAAAACGTATATTAATAAAACAACCACTATAAGAAAATCTTGTAACAAATGATTAAGATATATTAATAACCTATACAGGCCTGTATCTAAATTTTAACATGCCGTTCTATCAGTGCAGACAACATTAGTGTAGTTGTACAAAATGGTGTACAAACAAAAGACAAACAGTATGGACACACAGAGAAAGCATATATTGTTGAACCAAAATGCAAACAGATACAGGGTTCTATGACAGTGGTTTCCAGTCCTAGTGGAGTCATTGTTGGGAGGATATATGGAGTAAATCCAGTAGGTACCTGAAAGAACAACATGCGACCATCATTTACTTTAGTTTCACTATTATTTATATTTAAAATACTTACTGGACTGTCAATAACTATCTCTTTCCCTCACCAGCAATAAACCAGCACACAATGAATAAACAGAGCATCAAGCTGAAGGCAGCGCAGAAGCGAGCCAGCGGACAGTCATCCAAAGTGTTCCTCAGGTACACGAGCAACAGTGCAAACAGACCAGTCGCCCCGATCACGGCCATGTAGAGGGGGAGCTTTGGTTGAACAGGGCACTCATGAAAATGGATTGTTCCTAGAAACATTAATCCAAACAGCCATATGACAGTGTAAAAATCAGACTTGCAGTGGTGCAATTAAACTTAACATACAATTCTTCATTAAAGGTGCATTGCGCAAGTCTCTGAGTTTTTGCAGAACTATGCTCCCTCTGGCGAGAAGCGAAACTGCAACCAGAGGTGTAACCTCACGGACCACGTGCACACGCACGCTTGCACAAGCTGTTCATAACCATAGGAGCATCAGCCGCACAATTCTTTTGTTACAGTCATAATGTCTTCAGAGGTAATAAAGTTATAAATCTGCAAGTCATTTTAAATATATGAAGGAAAGGCGTTTGCGTAAATTACACACTTATGTGTGAGGGGAAAACGGGGGTAGTAGAAAACTTCGTTTTTTGTTTCCATCTATCTCCATGTTGAACTGTTTTGTGTTTACTGTATCCACTTATGATTGTATTATTATGGAAACACGTTCATGAACAATATAAGCTATTACTTTGTATAGGATCCTGTTTGAGCCCTAGAGCCGACCGGAGATCTCTCCATTTGTTGAAAGCCTTCCCGATGTTGACTCTCGTCTTAGTCCAATGCCTGGCACTAGACCAGTGTTGTAGTCGAGACCACCTCATTCGAGTCCGAGTCGACACCGAGACCAGAGAGAGTCGAGTCCGAGTCAAGACCGAGTCCATAGAGTCGAGTCCGAGACCAGAGACGGTCGAGTCCGAGTCAAGACCGAGACCAGTGAGGGTTGATTACCTAATTTACTTTTATTTACTTAGAGAAATCCTTTTTTTTATTTTACTGAATTTACTTAAAAATATGATCAGTTTAAGGTTAAACGGCCACATAGTAGGTGGTGTTAAAAGTAATTTTATTACAATTTGTCATACGCAGTTGCGCACTAGAAAATCACCAATGACTGGGCGTGTCAATCAATTTAAAGAAATATTTTATTCACATACATTAATAATCATGAAAAATATTTTTAATTGAACTCGAGTGGACTCGGGAATAATTCCGAGTCCTAAAAAAAAAAATGTTCGAGTACGAGTCAATTCCGAGTCCAAATGGACACGAGTCCATGACAAGACCAAGACCATTAAAATATGGTCTCGAGACCGAGTCGAGTACTACAACACTGCACTAGACAATAGTTTTTTTTAATTTTGTCTTACGTGGAGTTTGCGTTGGGGTCTGGAATGTCTTCTACTTTTGTCGAAAGTTGATTAAAGTTTTGTCGCTCGAGTTGTCTTCGCTGATACGAATGGCAGCAAATACACAAACCTGCCAGACATAGTCAGGTGAGCGTGAAGGCACATGACGTCACGCCCAGTCTCAAATTCTGTCCCGAATCCCTCGCAGTGATCAGAGAAGGGCTCATTCAGCCCATCAGGCAATTGTTTAAGCATGTATGGGTTACAAAAACTGGTATTTTTAACATGAAATGTTGCGCAATGCACCTTTAAAATCAAGCATTTACAGCATTCCCGATTGTGATTTTACAGTGGATTGTTGAGGAGGTTAAACTAACTTCTTCTTAACAATATATTTTATGTTGTAAATAAAAACTGCTCTTTACCTAATCCAGTAGCTGTTATTAAAATCATCCATGCAATCATGTTAATCATCACTGGAAAACAAACAAACAAATAATTATGTTTCTTTAAATAAAAAAATTAGTTATTGAAAAAAACATATAGCTTTCTTGATATTCTTACCAATGAAAGATTTTCTGGCAGCTCTCTCGGTAGTCTCCATCTTTAACGATTTCTTAAACAGCCCATAGAAATGTGAATTATCTCTTATTGATTTTCCTCAGGCTGTCTGACCCCCAGAACGAGCTTCATCATGAAGACTTGATGTGAACGGGACTGAACGAGCTGCTCTGAGTCAACCGGTATGTTTTCACAGTTCTGTGGTCTCCAGACTTGCAAAGTATTTTTGAAACACTTCCTTTGGTGAAATGTTGAGAAACTGTTTTAGCCAACCCAAACTGAAAGATAAAAACCACCTATTTTTGTGCGCATGTTGACAAAATCAACAGTGTTTTGAGTAAATTATAATATATATTTTATTCAGTAATTCTGTACAGTACCTTCAAGTCTAGGCCTTCATTTTGAAGTAGATGGAAATACAGTATACAGATAATGTCTAAAAAAAAGGTGCTTTTCTGTGCTCTGAACTAGAAAACAGGATATATACAGTAATGCCACGATCATGGGTTTTAGTTTTTGAGAACATATTGATAAAATTGATTTGATTGATTTGAATAAAGCATCTGCCAAATGTAAAAATAGTAACACTTTACAATAAGGTTCATTATTTACCATTAGTTAACATGAACTAAAAATTAACAATACCTCTAAAGCATTTAATAATCTTAGTTAATATTAATTTCATATAATTTCAATATTAAATTCAAAATTTGTACATGAACTAACATGAATAAACAAAGAACAGCTGAAGTTTTATGAACTAACATTAACAAAGATTAATAAATAAAAGTATTGATCATTGTTAGTTAAAAAAACATTAACTAATGTGAACTAATGAACCTGTTACCATAAAACCATAGGCTAATACTTTCCAAAGAAGTCTTACGCTTGTTGCTGAGAGTTTGAAGCCGATGACTGCGGTCTTTGGCAAGTATTTTGTACACAGATATAAAACACTGAAAACCCAATACAAAGCAACAGGACAGCCAGACAGCCGTAGCAGACTGTGTTCAACCAGAATGCAAAGAGGTACAGAGTTTTGTTGCAGTAGTTCGGTTCATGTGTTGGGTCATAACTGGGACGATGAACAGAGTATATCCAGACACTCCCTGCAATACACAGAGAAAACATTTCTAGTTGAGCTACATATTTCATTTGATATCTGTGAAATTTTAACAGCAATGGCAATTTTCTATTTTCTCCCAATATCTTCTTATTTAAGTTAAATAAGCGAAAAATGTGTGGCCGCTATACTTTATATTCGCCAGATCAACTCCAGATCGAACGTCCACATTTTTGTATTCCCCCGAAACACTCACAAGCTGTGTTCGAAATCACTCCCTATATCCTCATTCACTATTCCCTAAATTAGTCCACTAATATAGTTCACTTGAAGGAGTGAATGCAAACGAGTGAGTGAATTCAGACACTGAGAGCGAAGTAAGGGCTGCTGCTTTTGCATAGTTTATGCTTGCTGTTTAATTGAAACCTAACAAACTGGCAGCTCCAGTAGTAATGAAAAGATTTATCTTGAACTCTGTCATCTGTCCCTTTAACTGTGACTCTGACTGCAGCCCCACATTCCTCAACCTGTCATCACAACAGCTTACAGCTTTAACTTTTATTTCTCCAGAGAAAGTTTGAGCCTTTCACGTACATTTCTCCTTTGTTCTTTCTAAAAATAAATATCTGCACCCCTCCTTCTATGATTCCCATTTGCCAAATCCACAACTACTCACCTGCGATGAACCAGCAGAAAACAAACAGGTAGAGGATGAAGCTGACGGAGATGACCAGCAGAGACAACAGCAGCAATTCAAAGGTGTCTTTTGCGAGCAGACCGTAGAACAAGCCTAGGCTCACTATCAGCACAAGAAAAACAAATACACCAAATACTATAAGGTAGACTGGGATGTGAGGCTGGACAGGACAGTCTCTCAGAAAGTAGGCCCCTAAAAAGAAAATTCAAACAAAAAGTTCATCAGTCTTTGGAGAAGAGCAGTGTGTAACGTACAACAAAACATGTGAATGTTTCTGTCAATTACACTAGAATCATACGTCCACATTATTTGTTTACAATGTAAGAGATAACAGTGAATAATGAGGTAAAAATACATGATTTACCTATTCCAATTGCTGCAATTAAAACCCCCAGTACAACAATAGTCAGTATCACTGAAAAATGAAAAGATTACTCAGACAAGAATATGTTTCACAGTTTGCCAAGTACAGTGAAACCAGGACATTTGGAAAACACACACACATGCTTAACATAGATTTTTTTAAGTAACATTCTTAAAATGATTGTTAATACGATTCTTACCTAAAAGTGATGTCAAAAATGGTGATGGCTTTGAATTTCCCATCCTCAGAATATCATTGTTGATGACTATGCACAATGACTGCTTTAAGTTTAGAAAGAAGTCAAATAAGACATTGCAGAGTACATAGGACTAGTAAGATTTAGTCATCGTTAAAAGTCTCACAGAAAAGCTTCCTCTTGCGTCGGTTAAAACAGCCTACATGTGTAGTAGAGTTCACAAAAAAGTTCTTCTGTTGTCCGTCTTATTGACAGTAATTTCCAATATTTCCTAACTGACCCGCCATGTGCAACCTAGAGCCGCCGTGGTGGCCACACCTTTCTGAAGTGCTCATTTAAATGCAAAGGAAATTTTTCATTACTCACCAAAACGATTTCAATCAATGTATTATATGCAGTTTACTATAAAAACAGCACCTCGAGACAATCTTTCCTAAAACCAGCAACGGAAATAACAATACTACAGCGCAAAAGTTTGGGGCTCAGTAATGTTTTTTCACATTCTTTTACTCGGCAAGAATGCGTTAAATTGATCATAAGGGACAGTAAAGCCTTATGAAACAAATAGGTCTATTAAAAATCGTACTAAACATTTGAACGGAAGTGTTTTTTTCCCCCATCGTGACAATTCCATTCTTCTACTTCTCAGGGAAGCGCATCATGTCATCATATGCCACAATATAGTCTTATGATGACTATTACTAAACTTCAACTTAATGTTTAAGCTTACATTTATAGTAATGAAGGTTACTCACAGGCCTATACTCGTTATCAGTTTTACTTTTAGATGTGAGTTTTAAGTTATGTCACTGTTAATCTCTCAAGTAGCCATTTGGTGGCTTTATTATAGGCCTGTTAAGACCCAAAAAATATGTTCAGATAAAATGGTGTAAATTTAATTACAAAATGCTCTCTTTTTGAATATTAAAAAAACATAGCCTAGCAAAGAAAATAATTAGCTAAACTGCGTAGCAAATGACTACGGAGGCTGTCATGTCTCAGCCTGAACGCCAGAGGTCATTGTCTCCTTGTATATTGATTGAATTGTTTCTCGCTCTCCATTGAGTTCACTTGTTATTCATTCCCTGTTCAGTTGACAGTTGATCAAGACAGTTGATTAACTCTTGTTGGTTTGTAATGCAGTTCTGTGCAATTATGTTAATTTTTTCTGATTTGATAATGTCAGGTGTGTGAGTGACTGGATTCTTTTATGAAAATAAAGCTCTGCACATGAGTCATAACTGTTGAACTGAGACTGCAATGCACACATTTTTCACATTTGTTTTCTTTACCACTCTTTATCTCGGATTATTTCCATGCTATTTTTGTAAAATTGAACAGAATAATAAAAAACACGTTCTGCATGGGTGGCTAAAATATAGTGTTTTATAAAGATGATTACTCAGTTGCTAGCTCAAAGAATATTCAAAATAGTTAAGGTATTAAGGTAATTAAATGTTAGATTATTATTATTTAAAATCTCCATACATTTGTAAGCAAGCAAAAAAAATAAAAAAACAATTACTTCAAATACAATTAAATATTTGTTACTAAATACATATGTGTAAATGTGTATCTTAATACACAAAGTTCAGTTGAGTTTATCCTCCAAACCATCAAGAACACTGTCATCAATATCCATTAAAGGTGCAGTAAGCAATTTCTCTGAAAGTGGCTCAGACCAAGCAGCACAACACCCTTAGCCAATCAGCAGTAGGGGGCGTTTCTACTCATGATGGGGGAGGAGAGAGTGAAGGCCAATCAGCAGTAGGGGGCGTGTCCACTCATGATGGGGGAGGAGAGAGTGAGCCAATCAGCAGTAGGGGGCGTTTCTACTCATGATGGGGGAGGAGAGAGTGAGCCAATCAGCAGTAGGGGGCGTGTCCACTCATGATGGGGGAGGAGAGAGTGAGCCAATCTGCAGTAGGGGGCGTGTCCACTCATGATGGGGGAGGAGAGAGTGAGCCAATCAGCAGTAGGGGGCGTTTCTACTCATGATGGGGGAGGAGAGAGAGTGAGCCAATTAGCAGTATGGGACGTGTCCACTCATGATGGGGGAGGAGAGAGAGTAGGCCAATCAGCAGTATGGGACGTGTCCACTCATGATGGGGGAGGAGAGAGTGAGCCAATTAGCAGTATGGGATGTGTCCACTTGTGATAGGGGAGAGAGAGCCAATCAGCAGTAGGGGGCGTGTCCACTCATGATGGGGGAGGAGAGAGTGAGCCAATCTGCAGTAGGGGGCGTGTCCACTCATGATGGGGGAGGAGAGAGTGAGCCAATTTGCAGTAGGGGTGTTTACACGCATGATGGAGGAGGAGAGAGATCAGAGGGAGATTTGAAGGAAGACTGTAGAAAGAGAGATGCTGAGAGACATTACAAAAGAAAAAAGCTCAGAGGAATATCACTGGAAAAGATGGGTTATGATCAGGCAAGAGCTTTAGGACCCACGTTAATATTAGAAAAGCTTTCCAGCGCTGAAGAGACCGAAGCGGGAAGACCTGAAAAAGGACGCAGAGGTTGTGTTGTTTCTTCTCCATATGTGAGTAACATTGCTTTTGCTGTTTCACAGAAGATTTACTGTTGTTGTAATGTAAGCTATAGTAACAGGACAGTTTTGAGTGTCATTGTTTGTATGGATCTAATAAACAACTCTTGCTCGTATTTACTCTTGTGTACTGTATGTTCTTTCTCGTTGTTCATTCGTCATCTTTGCCTAATTTTTCTCAAAGCATAGCATCTGGGTAGGCGTAGATTTGGGCCCAAGGCTTACTTGCTACGCCACTGTCGCAAAGCATTATTTTGCTTAGCTTCAGCTATGAGAAAGAGACATCCACTCTTACAATGCGTGTTTATGCATTTTGGGTGCGGGCGAATGAAGGGAGGGGGGTGTTTGTTTGGGGTAATTTCTAATATCAACAGTGTTTCTCAGAAATCGATTACTGTACCTTTAAGATGACCCACAGAGCTTTCGCTAATCTTTTGCTATTGCACAAATGCAAGCACAGATAAGAAAACAGCATCCGAGCAACAGCGCCACAGCTAACAGAATGTATCCCAGAGTGGTGGTCCAGAATGCAAACAAGTAGAGGGTCTTATTACAGTAGGGATCTCCACCCATGGTTTGGTTGTAGTTAGGAGGGTAAATAGAGTAAATCCACACACTGCCTGTTAAAAAAAAAGAGAGAGAGAGAGATATTTCAGAAATATAAATTACTAGAGATTACGACTTGATGACATTGGCTATTTGAGGAAACAGTCTTCACTGATCCTGTTACATTAGAGTATGATTAACTTTAAAGGGGACATATCATGCAAAAGTGACAGTGGTGAGAAAACAGCAGTTAAAGGATTAGTTCACTTTTGAAAAAACTTTTGCTGATAATTTACTCACCCCCATGTCATCCAAGATGTCCATGTCTTTCTTTCTTCAGTCGAAAAGAAATTTAGGTTTTTGATGAAAACATTCCAGGATTTTTCTCCATATAATGGACTTCAATGGGAACCGGATGGTTCAAGGTCCAAACGACAGTTAATAACAGTTTCAGATGCAGCTTCAAATGTCTTTAAACGATATCAGACGATGAATAAGGGTCTTATCATGCGAAACGATCGGTTATTTCAAAACTTATTCCAAAAATGTAACTTTTCTAAGGACAAATGCTAGCCTTGCTCTATTCTGTGAGGCGCGTTTGCAACGTCACGTAATACGTAATTACGTTCAAAAGGTCACGGGCGACGTAGCCGGAAGTACAGAGTCAGAGTGTTTTCAAGTTGAACGCATAGGTTGAACGTGCAAACTAGCTCAAACACCGTATACAAAAAAAGGAATTAAAAGGTTTTGATTCTGTACTTCCGGCTACGTCGCCCGTGACCTTTTGAACGTAATTACGTATTACGTGACGTTGCAAACGCGCCTCAGAGAATATAGCAAGGCTAGCATTTGTCCTTAGAAAAGTTACAGTTTTGGAATAAGTTTTGAAATAACCGATCGTTTCGCATGATAAGACCCTTATTCATCGTCTGGTGTCGTTTAAAGACATTTGAAGCTGCATCTGAAACTGTTATTAACTGTCTTTTGGACCTTGAACCATCCGGTTCCCATTGAAGTCCATTATATGGAGAAAATCCTGGAATGTTTTCATTAAAAACCTAAATTTCTTTTCGACTGAGGAAAGAAATACATGGACATCTTGGATGACATGGGGGTGAGTAAACTATCAGCAAAAGTTTTTTAAAAAGTGAACTAATCCTTTAAGAAAGCATCTGATCGATGTGGAGACTATAGATCTGGTATTGTGAGACTAGTTTGAATGAACCATTTTTCTTTGAATAACACATTGATATTACTGTCCAGAATGGCTCTTTCTGCATTATCCTGAACATTGTATAAGCATTCATTCGCTTCATGTGTCATTGAAACGGAAGAAAGGCTCTCGCGTAAACATCACATCTTTTTGATTTTCCCGGCAAAAAAAAACAAACTCCAGAGTCCTTCACATAAAAATCAGTCAACAGGATTTCATAGACAACCTTGAAAGTTGGGGAAGGGTTTCATTTTTTAAGTTTTGTTACAAGATAATACAAAAAAAAAACCCAAACGATTAAGACATTCTTACATAGCCCCTTTAAGTTAATGAATGTCAATTGTTGAAGTCTGTAGTTGTTAAAGTAAAAATTCCAATCTATTAAAAAAACACCACAAATATTGTTTGTTACAAAAGTGCAAACCTATACAAAAATGTTTTTTTCTTTATAAAATTCAATTGCAAACAAAGTTCAAACTGAAATATCGTTTTTTTTTTTAGTTACACAGCCTATTAAACACATTGTCTGAGATATTTTACAGAACAAAAGTTCATATTCACACCCAAATGTTAGACAGATCCCACACACAAAAGCACAATGAAAGTGTTTTGCATTCACAGAATTCAAATGAAAATCTGTTTGTTTGTCAAGTTTCTTTGTATTGGATTAACTGAATAATGCACAGACTATTACAGAGACCCATGAACACATTAAATGACCTCTTCCTCCCACATACACCAGCCAATCTTACCACTGATCAGCCAGCAGAACAAGAAGAGAGCAACCAGAGCGTTCCACACGTTGCAGATGAGGCTGAGCCAAAAACGATCTCCCTCCTCCGTCTCCCTGGAGCAGGGAAGACAAGACAGCAAGGCCAGAAACATACTAAACACTCCACAAACCAGCACATACACTGGGATATAGTGCTGCTGGGGGCAGTCTTTGAGGTAAACGGCACCTGTGGTGATAGGCAACACAAAATCACCTTAAATAACTGAAGGTACCAGAAAGGAATAAATACAGTACTCACATTCACTGCAACGCACCTATTGCAATCTGAGCAATGGGAATACCCAGTAAGAGTAGTTTTGAAATCACTGAAATGCAAATCAGTCCAAAATTAGTGTCAGTATACTTTATGTTCACAAGTAACAATTGTTTAGGGAGTAAAACTCTCACACCAAGGCAAGCTGTACTAGCTTTCGGAGGAGATTTCACGTAATTCCACATTTGCTTTGGATCCATGGTTCCTATGAACATCACAACCCAAAATTAGCTGTCTTTGAAAGCAGTTAATAAATCATTATGCCCTAATGACTTTTTTAACAAAATTGACATCAAGTATAGTGTAAATATAACATTGGTTTGAGTTAGTATTGAGTATTGTACAGTACAATACAGTATTGATCAATTTAATTCCACTACATTAACAATATACGATTTTTTGAGTTTGCTCAAAAATGCTTACCTGAAGTTCTGGTTCTGGGAAGTCTTTACCTGACACACTCCGGGATTAGAAACAGCCTGAAATGATTCTTCATGGGATTTTATACTTTTATATATAAAGGTTTCAACATTCTTTTCCTTTTTTTTTCTTTCTTTTGCAGCTGTAACATTTCAGGATAAACTGGTTCTTGCTGTGTGAATAAAATGACAAACATGACAAGCATTATGCTGGAACCATTGATGCCTTGCAGGTTGGCCTCTTACCTCAAAGACAGAACCTTCTCAATGAGCAGCAGTTTGTCCATTCAAGGCTCTCTTCTCTTTTCACTCCATATGCTACCATTGGGTGCCATTTTTAAGAAGTATATAAATTCCTACCATGCTGACGATACACAGTTTTATCTACCAGCTAAAACTGACAGTTTTTTACCCTTTGGACGTGCTCTACAACTGTTTTGAGGTGATCCGATATTGTCATTTTTTTATTTTTTATTATTTTTTTTGCAATTAAATGAAAGCAAAACTGAAATTTTGATTTTAGGCCCCTCCAGGTCTTCATCTATTTTTAATTTGGATTATATTGCCGCCAGTGTTCAACCTCACAAGGTCATACATTCATACATACACAAGGCTTCACATTGCCCCCTAGCCGCCTGGAGTGCATACAACATCGAATTTCACACACTTTTGCATCACCATATCCATGCAGGTTTATAACGCTCGTCTAAATGCAGAATACAAGTGATAACGCAACGCCATCAGATCGTTTCCGTGTAAACATAGCCTTAGATCCATTGTAACGATCATCAGTTTTTAAATTAGTTCATTTCACCAGCTTGGTTTAGTTTTCATCCAATAGTGTAAGTGCAGTCAAATCAATAATATCGTTCAATAATAAGTGTCCCGCAGATATGATGACTTTAGGACTTCCGTGCTGAAGTTTAGTTGTTGTTTAATTATGAAATGTAGTTGTTTGTCTCGTTCAGTTCATTGATGATATATCATCAGGCATTGCCTTGAGCACACCTGCCAATCACAGGTCTGTTAGGCACTGGCTGGAGGAGGTCTCTACAAAAACACAGCCCTGTGATTGGCCACCCTGCAAGTCAATCACTCTGTTTTGTCCTTGTTCATTTCCTCCTGTCTGAAGTCGTGCTCCACCCAGGAAGGAGTCCAACAGCAAGCCTCTTTTCCACAGCTATGCATAATCCAACACACACAATTACCCTTTGCCTCATAAACAAACTTTATCAATATATATAATGTAGTATAGCATCTGACCTCAATGGAGATTTTTGACTTTGGGTTCCTGCTGTAAAATATGGCTTTGGTGTTGAATTCAGGGCTTCCATCTTTTTGGAAAATTCTAGTCCTGACAGAGTCTTCCTCACACCGGATTACAGCATACACATCAGGAGCTGAAATATATACACTCTTTAGCGGGTTCAATGGGGTTCTATATAGAACCCTAGGGTTCTTGACTGAACTATAAAGAATCGAATTCTATATAGGTTTTATATAGAACCTTTTCTTCTAAGTAGACTAGAGTATAATTAAATTTGAAACAGTGCTTCTTCAATGCTAGGAATAAAATATGCTTCCTAACAACTTTGTGAAAGCAGAAAGAGCCCTTGACCACAAAACCAGTCACATGGGTCAATTTTTTTTGGAAATTGAGATATTTACATAACATGAAAGCTAAATAAATTTCCAGTCAGTTTTCCATTGATGCATGGTTTGTTAGGATAGGACAATATTTGGCAGAGATACAACAATATGAAAATCTGAAATCTGAGGGTGCAAAAAATTTGAAATATTGAGAAAATCGCTTTTAAAGTTGTGCATTCATGTTCGCGATTATGCTGCATTCACTCACAAAAATACATTTCCGGAAGGAAATTTACTAAATATCTTCATGGAACGTGATTTTTTTCCAAATCATTTTTGGCATAAAAGAAAAATTGATCATTTTTGACCCATATAATGTATTGTTGGCTATTTCCGCAAATATACTCATGCGACCTGTGACTGGTTTTGTTATCCAGGGTCACAAATATGAATTAATCCAAACAGTTTTCTTAAATGGGATTATTTCATTCTAAACGACATGAATCAGCATGAATGTGAGTAAATAATTACAGAATTTTCTATTTGTTAGAATGTTTTACATTCTTGACTATTTCTTTCATTTTCAAAGATGTTTTCAAGACCAATTTGTTCTCGTTTAATTAATTAGTTATAACTATGGGTCTGTTCACACTTGGCATGCTTGGTTGGATGAAATCAAAACTTGGTGCGATTAGCACGGTTCATCTGAATAACTGTGAGCGCTAACATCCGAACCCTGGTGCCACCAAACAAGCGGACCGAGAACGCTGACAATATGGGTATCCTCGCAGCAGGGATTCGCTGTTTCTCAGCTGGTCAAAATACCATCATATATAGGCTAAGCACATACGAGCGCTTTTAGCCAAGCACACAGCATTGTTTTGGATGTTTGACAAGTTTCTGTTGCAAAATATACGTCATAAAAGCCTTTTTTAATCTTTAGGTTCGGTGTTAAGAATGAAAGTGTGTACGCTAAGTGAACCAGGACTAAATCTATCATTTTCTTTTTTTTGGTCCGGACCAAATGTGCCAAGAGAACCGAAGTGTGAACACACCCTAAGACTGCTAGGTCTGCTAACCCATTTTTTATAAACGAATGGACGCAAACAGAAAATGCTCACTAAAATCATAGTCCTGTTTGTTTTGTCAATTGTTTATGAGTTGAGTTTATGTAGAATTGTTGAACCTGTTTGTTTGGGATGGCAAAGGACGGATGCTTTGAGCAGATGGACTGTAGTTACAGCGCTGGGCTCAGGAATACAACACTGCCAGACTGAAGGAGCAGGTCGCTCTTCCTTCAACTCCCTGAAGACGGTGGACAAAATAAAAGAATAGGTAGAGACAGTGACTGAGAATCCGGCTTAAAACTATTACGCTTGTTTACTTCTCAGTAGCTCATTTGAATGCAAAACAGCAGATTCACAGAGGGACCCAATCTCCTGTACCTGAGACGCACGTGTGAGTGTGAGAAAAAACGCAGAAGGAATCGACCAGTGGCACCAGGCTGGAAAGTAGTGGGGAGGATGACGTAGCGTCCAGGACCAAGAGTCACACGCAAAGTGACGCTACGAGAGTCCATGTACACAGAGCTAGCAGCCTGCTCACATAAACACTGGACACGACACACACGATTCACCTCCACCTGACGGAAAGAAAAAGGAACGTTCTCAGAACATAAGCTAGCGTTCTGGCAATGTTCTCTCAAAGTTCATCCAGTGACATTAATAGAATGTTTGTTCAAAATGGTTTGTTTTTTAAGAATGTTCAGGGAACATTCAAATGTAACATTCCTGTAAAATAGAATGTTTCCTTAGAAAAACATTCAAAAATAACATTTACATAACATCATCGGAACATTAGCAAAACATTCTTAAAGGGTACATATCATGCTTCTAAATCATTCATTTTTACTTATAAATCATACATTTGTGGTCTATATAAAGCATAACTGCAATGCATGGGTCTGAATTCCTCATTATTAAAGCTCCACAAGCCCCTTTTCTGATGTGCTTCTGTGAGCAAGTCGTTTCGAAGCGGCCCCTTTAAATAAAAATGAGTTGCGTCTTTCCCCGCCCGCTTTCCAGGTCGCTGAGTTCACGGTCGGTTCAACTCCCCGCGTTCGGCCATTATTGTAGTTTGATAAGAGATATACGATTACTATAGCTTCAAAGAACATTTTTATTCACACGTTAACAAAATGTCAACAACGGAAGACTTGTCCATCAAGCCTTACATATTCGAGCCAGAGCGAGCGAGTTGAAAAAGACGACGACGAACCTGCAGAACAACGTCTCCATATGGATGCAGCGGTATGTAAGTTAACTATGTTGTGTTATTAGTGAAAGTCGACTATTTCTCTTGTTAAAACAATCACACTGACAAGATAAATGACTGCGGTCTGATCTTCCCACTAAAAATCTGTATTGATAATAATATGATAACTTACGTTTAAAAAAGCGTCAGAAAACACAGCAACTAATGATAGAAGGAATTTACCCCTCATTCAGAAGAAGTCGATCGGCAACCTCCGCCTTCTGTATACTGAAGTGCTTCAGGTCACTACATCCAACAACCAAACATTTTGACTAGCCCTCTCGTAACTTCTGCATCATTGAGCTCGGACTACAAAATCGGAGCGAGAAATAATAATGGCGGATTTCTCGAAGTGTTGGACCGGTAGTCAATGTCCTTATTTGTCAGTTCCGCTGCAAATACTGTGATGTAATTGTTCAAAAAACATAATATAGAACAGAAAAATCTGAACAGGTTGAAAAATAGGACCGAAACAGAATATAAAGATATAAATGAAGCACCTGAAGAGAATAATTTCATATTTTCTGTACTTATAAACTCTCCAAATATACAACAAAATGCATTTAAGGGCTAAAAAAGTGGATTTTGCATGATATGTGCCCTTTAAAATGTATTTTAGTTAGCTGGGGGGACGGAAAGAAGAAGAGTAAATGTACATTAATACTAAAGTCTACAGATTTACTGTGATTTAGTTAAAATTACATAACAGTTAGTTACATTCCTCAATTTGTACTGCTGTTTGTCAGTTTCAGGTTGTCAGTCGGTGCAGGTTACATTTATGAGTGAATCATTCACTCAACCGTTTTGTTCCAAAAACACTGATTCATTCAGGAACAGATATGTCAACTATTACAAATAAAAATATAATATACACAACCGCATGAATATCAATTGATATTCTGAACAACACCACTATTGCTCGTGTGATATTGCGTGGACTGATTTATTTGCTTGTACAAAATTAAACAAACCCCAAAATCCACAAAAGTGAAACAGATCTGTTTTTGTAAATCTCTGAGTCACTTACCCTTAGCACCTCAAAGCCGATTGGTAGGTTCTCCCCCCTTCCTTCCCTCCTTTTCATCCTCCTGTCCTCCTGTTGCAGACTTATCAACACCTCTGCCCCGTCTCCAACCAGTTCAAAAAGGAACTAAGAGAGAGATGAATGACAAGCATGTGAATGTGAAATTAGGGAATATCTGATTAAGAGTGCTAGCTCACGGCGCTAGCTGGAGGCAAAACAAAGTGAAAACTGGAGGCGGCCAATACAAACCAGCACAGATTCGGCTACATAATAAGGAGCTTAAATTACTTTTATTATTATTAAATGTCATCTTCTTGTGTTGTTTGGTGCAAGTATGAATGAAAAAATAATATGCTGTATCAGGATTTTTTTATTTCTAGAAAATATTCACATGATTAAAATCGCACTGTAATGTCACTCTTTACATTGTCGTGGTCTCGGCGCTGGCTCGGCAGAACTGCGGATCGTACACACAAGTCTTGTACAGGACCATGTAGGCATCTAAAGATTTATATGCCTCAGTTTCTCTTTACGATCGGTTTCTCTATAAGGTAGGTGTAGAAGTCAGACCACTCACCCGAGGTAACGTACGTTAATCCTGTCAGATCATCCATGCATTGAGTGAGTGTGTAGGCGGCTACGGGTCGGCCAATCTGGTTCTGTCCGTTAAAAATAACTTTTGGAAATAACAATCGCGGTCCTGCACACTGAGTGACCTTACACATTAAGATAATATTGGATTTTCTTCAGTCATTGTTAAAAAAACAAGCTAACAATCCTTGCTAACTAGCGTTAGTGAAGCGGCCAGAGGGATCTTTCTGCCTCCACCTAAGCTCCAGTGGTGGAGGAAGTACTGAATCTCAGTACTTAAGTAAAAGTACAAATACCCAGATAAATATTTACTTTAGTAAAAGTAGAAGTAACACAATGACAACCATACTTAAGTAAAAAGTAAAAAGTACTTTATTTTAAATGTACTTTAAGTATTAAAAGTAAAAGTACTTGCATAACAATTTATTTTCTTAATGTCTATTTTCTAATGATTAATAGAACATTTAATTCTAACTCATTCAACCTGATAGCCTACTCCTATAATGATGTTCAATAATGATGGAAAAAAAATGTCACCATTTCTGAAACAAGCTTGCAATTAGGCAATATACATCATGCTTATCCTTACTATATGTTAATAACTATGTTTGGCAGTAAACGAGATTAATTTATGGTGTAATTCTGAACCTCTTGGCTTGCCATAATCCTAACCAAACCAAACATATATTACACACGGTGTGTTTCCTATGCACGTAAAAACAAATTTTCGCGTATGAGTTGCACGATAAACACACTGCGTGTGAGACGCATTTAGTGTGACCGGGTTGATATACTGTATCTATGGCAACCAAACGTCACTGGTGAGACAAACGTGCAACGAACGGACGGTCAGATTACGTTTTGGCAGGGGAAAAACTGATCAGAAAATGTAACGAAAATGTAACAGAAGTTGTAGAAATGTAGTGGAGTAGAAAGTAGTATAATTGCTGCAAAATGTAACGAAGAAAAAGTAAAAAGTATGCACTATTTATTGTACTTAAGTAAAGTAAAGATACATGAAAAATGTACTTAAGTAAAGTAACGAAGTATCTGTACTTCGTTACATTCCACCACTGCTAAGCTCCACCCACAAAAAACCGTCACCATGTTTACCAACTGTAAAAGGGTCTATAGAGCATCTTTGGGATGTGGTGGAACGGGAGCTTCGTGCCCTGGATGTGCATCCCACAAATCTCAATCAACTGCAAGATGCCATCCTATTAATATGGGCCAACATTTCTGTCCAACACAGTATTAGTATGGTGTTCCTAATAATCCTTTAGGTGAATGTATACAGTATACATATACTTTAATATCATTTTGGTTCAGAAATTCCCAGAGTTATTCACCTGGGGGTTGTGTAGAAACGTGTCTCTGTGATTGATACATCCTCCACATCGACTTCTCCTGTCAAGTTGCCTCTCCCATCTCCTCTCCACCCCTCCTTGTTTATTCACACGCTCTCTTCCTCCCTTCATTTGCTTCGGTTTTACTTCTGCACGCTCTTTCTTTCTCTGTTTTTCTCCTTGGGCTGGTCCCTCTTTCTTTCTTTCACTCAGTCTTTGCTCTTTTTTATCTCGTCTCTGAGCCGGCCTTTGTTTGGACCACTGGAGCCCTGTTGAAGGCTTCTGGTTCTTGATGTTCAGACGACAAGAAGATGAGGAAGGAAGCGGGATCCCGGATCCGTAGGTCCAGGCCCCGTGGCAGCACACCTCCCTCCAGTGGGTCTGTGGCCAGAGGAACGATTTTTCTGCCAACCTACACACCACCATGTCTGTGAAGTAACGACAGAAATCCCCAAACTCCATCCTGAAGAAAATGAGAAATGTACAATATTGAGACAAAACATGTTTCACAACAGAATAATGTGTGTAATTTATCTTTTTTTTTTGCCAAATACACATACATATTGAAATATTGTAGCTAGGGATGCCGATATACATATCGGTATTGGCTGATATATTTTCATTTTTATTGTTATCGTCATTGGCCCAATAATAAAATTTGGCACATATTTATATTTGATTTAGTTTTATCAGCCAATATATCTCTTATCAGCTTTCAAATATAAAGAATTATTGGTTATCGGTATCAGCCAAAATGTTCATATCGGTACGCCCTAATTGTAGCTTAATGTACATTACCAAAACTCTCCAACATCTCGGACAATAAGTCCCATCTTCTCCCTTTCTCTGCGGCTCAGCTGCTCCCACTGTGGAGACCTGCGAAGGGAAACACAATGAAGATATCACAAGCATTAAATCTCAAATACCTTCATCATAGTTGTAAAATTTTGTCAAAACATTTGGAAAAGTCTTGTACGACAACATACGCTAAAGATTTTCAATTTCAATTGCAGATAGACTGGTCTTTTGCGTTAGATCCTAAACTCTTTTTCTTTCTAGATTCGAATGTTTCTTGCATCCAAAAAATACTTTCCTCGCGAGGCTTAAACTCACAACCTCGGCATTGCTCTGCTTTGTACTGCCTTATAAGTATCGTGTGCTGACCGATTGCACCACTGGAGCGGTTTTCAAAGAATTATGTCACAAAATAAAATTAAAAATACTGTGGAAACAAAGACACCTACATCTTGGATGCCCTTGAGGTAAGCTTAAACATATCAAAAATTTATTTCAAAGTGAACTATCCCTTTAACTAAACAAAGTTATATTGACGCTAAAGGGTGCCATGTGCGTCGGATTTAGACAAAATTTCAAAATATGACTATATGACGCCCTAGGATGAGAACGCGTTGGCATTTCAGGCTCACCCGACGTAAACCAATAGCTTCCTTGGAGGTAAAGCTTCATAGCTTGAATACACAAAGCCAAAATCGAAGCCCTGCTACAATAGTGCCTACCTCACTTAACCTGTTAACTGTCACCCCCCCTTTTTTGAATAGACATGAAAATGCACATGTCGAACTTAAATGGTTGTAATTCAAGAATGCTTTGGAATATAGACATATGATTGGTCTTGTTTTAAAGAAGACATTTGGCAGATTTTTGTAGAAGTAAATAACAATGTATTTACATAATAATGTAGATGTAAATTTTGTAGAAGGAAATAAATTAAGAAAGTGAAACAGAAAAAAAGTTATAGAAGTTTGAGTTTATGGAAATGTACAATGTAAAAATATTAATTATTCATATTTTACATAAAATATATATTTTCAAAACCTGGGCTACTCTAAAATGGCAGAAAGATCAAAGCCAAAAATCTGAACAAGTTGTGTTTCAAATTTTAGGTTGATATCTCAAAAAATGAGCTTTCAGTAAGATTTTGTTTGAGCGCAGTACCAAACTTTTTCACTAGGGCACAATCAGACTCCATTACTGCCCATATAAGGGCGCCTGCATTTCCATTCGTGTTTTGAGTGATATGAATCATTATTTTCACAATTTTCATACAATTTCTGAAGTAGAAATCCTATTCAGAAGGAGCATGGGAAGTTTGGCAGATTTTGATATGTATTGAACCTCTAAGAAACACATACAAAGAACACGCATGTAAGTCATAGCTAGCTGCCACGTCACAAATGGTGAATTTATTATTTTTTTCTTGATATTTCAAACTTTTCAGACCTTTTTTTTCCAAAATAATTGAATGGATTCTATCTTTTGAACTTTTGGCATGAAAACAAACTGAGGTTTCTACCATTTTTTCATGATTTTTCATGTTTACTGCTATTTTAAAATAAAGGTCTGAACACACCTTATGAGTATGAAAATATTCTTGTTTTATATTGATAAATTATGGCTCCTCTGTAATATATTTTGAAAATCGGTCACCAAATATGGAAACTAGAGATTGTAAGCTTTCAAATGATATATAGTTTGTCAAAATTATTTAAGGTATTTACTAAGATATTATTGTTTTAAAAATATAGTGGCAAACGTCCCACCTGTGGGACGGTGACAGTTAAGTTAACTATTGCTAGCCAATGTTAATTAGACAAGCTTTTGAAGCCTCTTCTGACTAGAACGCATGGGAAAAGTCAAGAACTCAATTGTGGTGTCTGCTAACCAGTGGCATGATTGTTGATTATTGGGCACACATGAACTCACCCCTGGCTCCAAGCTCCTGTCCAGTCTGCCGTGCCCCAGGGGTTCCTCATCCGAACCATGTACAGACGAGCTGCGTTACTCATGGCATGCAGTGTCTCCGACATACGCAGTTTCCTGACTGCAGTCACGCCGTATGCATGACCCTTTATCAGTCCACAGGGCAGAACTGATTCCACCTGCTCTCCTTCTGCTGGCTTCAACAAAGAGACACACAGTGTGTACAAATGAAAGAGGTAATAAGTGCTGTATGGTTATATCATGTGTCATTGTAGTTATCAGGCCACACAGACCAATTATCATGTGGTATTTGCTTGATTTGAGGGTGTTTAGAATGTTTTTTCCTGATGATTTCTGACCCGAATGGAACAAGTGATGAGTGCTTTGTGGCTGTTTGCGTGGGTTAGTGTCTGAAACAGCATTTTTCTCCGCTCAGCGTGATTGATCAGCTCATCCTGGTTCAGACTCAGCGGTTCAGAGACGCCACCAGTAAAATCAACCAGAGCTTCGGCGGTATTACCTCCCTCTAGAGCCTCATAACACCCATTGAGCCTGGCAAAGACAGACAGAGAGAGATAATAATAATAATAGGATTTTGAAATAAAGGAGCTTGGTCTATTATGTACGTAGACATAATTTCAGTCCTAGTCCAAGACATAATTAAAGGAGTAGTTCACTTTAAAAAAAAACTTTTGCTGATAATTTACTCACCCCCATGTCATCCAAGATGTCCATGTCGTTCTTTCTTCAGTCGAAAAGAAATTAAGGTTTTTTATTAAAAACATTCCAGGATTTTTCTCCATATAATGGACTTCAGTGGGAACCAAACGGTTCAAGGTCCAATTGACAGCTTCAAAGGTCTTTAAACGACACTAGACGATGAATACGGGTTTTATCTAGCGAAACGATCGTTTGGTTGATTTTTCACGAAAGAAATGAACGAAATGACTCGAATAAAAGATTTGTTCATTTTGATGAACGAGTTCAAACAGGAGAGTCACGAACGCGCATCACAGAACAGAGCAAGGCGAGCAAATGTGCTAATAAATCTTAAACTTTTTTATTTATTTTTTAAATGACCGATCGTTTCGCTTGATAAGACCCTTATTCATCGTCTGGTGTCGTGAAGCTGCACTGAAACTCTCATTTGGATCTTGAACCGCTTGGTTCCCATTGAAGTCCATTATATGGAGAAAAATGCTGGAATGTTTTCATCAAAAACCTAAATTTCTTTTCGACTGAAGAAAGAAAGACGTGGACATCTTGCATGACATGGTGGTAGGTAAATTATCGGCAAAAGTTTTTTTTTTTAAAGTGAACTACTCCTTTAAATGAAAGTGCATATGTGTTTAGATTCTGCCTTATTTTACAAGTGTCTCACTTGGCATAGGCTTTCTCCAGCAAAGCACTCCAGAATTCCCGCGGCGTTGCAGAACGACAGAAGAGCAGCGTTCCCTCCTCGCTAACTGGTAAGCGGTCATCCACCACGACATCTGTCCACTGGCCCAGTCGCCAGAAACGGAAGTGAAAAATTCCAGCGTACAGATCCGGGCGCTTTGGGTGCCACTCCTGTTCAGCGTGGTCTGGGATCACCTGAATATAAGACAATACAAAACTAAGGAGTGAAATATTGATAAGTGAGCAGTTACAGTGTATATTTCCGATGTTTAATGTATTTTAAAATTTTCAGTCTTCATTGTCACATGATCCTTTAGAAATCATTCTAATATGCTGATTTGTTGAAAACAGTTCAAAACAGAATTAATTAGAATTTTGCAATATTATACAGGTCTTTACACTATATAACGATTTAATTCATCCTTGCTAAATAAAAAATAATTTCTCCTAGCCCGTACAAAATCGTATAGCCCCCAAACTTTAGTGTGTGTCAGAGTCAGAGTCAGAGTATCTTTATTTGTCTCCCACCGGAGAAATTAGTCTTTGGATCAAGAGATTGCTGCATGAGGATTACGACAAGACAAAAACACAGAAACAGTTAAAAACAAAAAAAATACATAAAACTTTGTGGCTTCTCAGAGAACTGTGCAAAAAGAGCAAATCACCCGTTTCTAAATTCTGCTGATGCGAGAGTGGTATCCCAGATACACTATAATAATAATAATAATGAATTTTATTTGTAATGCACTTTACACATGACGAACATATCTCAAAGTGCTACAAGTGTACAGATAAAAATAATAAGAATAGATATAAAAACATGCAATAACAGAATTAAAACAACAGAATTAAGAACAGTCAGTTAACAACAAAAGCAAATATAGTTTAAGAAAATGCAGTTAAAAATAGGTGGGTCTTTAGTTTATTTTTGAAAACCTCTATAGACTGTGGCGCTCTCAGGTGATTAGGTAGAGCGTTCCAAATTCGAGGTGCAGCTACCTGGAAGGCCCTGTCTCCCATAGTGCGGAGTTTAGACTTAGGAACCTGGAGTTTGTGAGTATCAGAAGAGCGGAGATGTCGGGATGGATTATGAATATTAATGAGTTCTGTGAGGTACTCTGGTGCGCTACCGTGGACGCACTGATACGTTAGGAGACAGATCTTATAATCAATCCTAAATCTGACTATATACAATATAAGGCTAAAAAATAAAAACAGTTAAGAGACGAGAATACATAGAATATTCAGGTTATCTGAAAAGCTGTGCAAAATTGCAAATCATACATAACATTTTATCACGGATAAACCATACATTAATAAATTCAAAATCTCATATACATCACTGGTCATTTATGAGCTTAATTGAGAGAGGTATAAATGAGCGCTTGTACCTAATATAGGTACAAGCGTGTGTGTGTGTAAATATTATCTGACCTTCTTCCAGAGTGAGGATTCAGCTGCCAAACACGATGTGGCTGCCACCATCCAGCAGTTACCCAGACTGCCCTGGTGCAGATCCCTTGTGCTGATCCCATCCACAAATAGTCGAGGGTCTTTACACAGTTCCTGCGTGTGAGAGGTAAAGACCCTCAAACTACTTGTATGCGTTTATGGTCAGATTCATTTTATTAAAGGGATCGTTCACCCCAAAAATTGCCATTAATTACTCATCATATAAAGCGATCGAGTCTCTTCAGAAAATTTGGACGAAATCGCTCAAAATGGATTAGTTCGTTTTATGATCTCTTTATGCGTCACTGACAGTGGTAGTTGCTTAACTGTCAATGGAGGGACAGAAAGGTCTCAGATTCATCAAAAAGATCTTCATTTGTGTTCTGAAGATGAACAAAAGTCTTACGGGTTTGGAACGACATGAGGGCGAGTAATTAATGACAGAATTTTCATTTTTGGGTGAACTAACGCTTTAAAGACATGTTTCAGAGTAATATACTGTGTTTTGTTCATTTTTCAAAACTAGATAATGAATGGAAAAAACAATAACATAAGGAGAATATCAATTCACAAAAAACAATGGTTTAATGACATACACTATTTAGAACCAGAAATGGTTCCATCCCCCGCTTCATATATGGAACTCCAAAATGGTTCTATATAGAACCATTTTTTTTTGGTAAAAGGTTCTATTTGCCAAGTATGGAACCCCAGGGTTCTATATAGAACACAGAGGAACCCTTTTTTAAGAGTGTATAGAACCTTTTAGGGGTTCCAAATACATAGCACTGATAGAACCTTTTAAGGTTCTACATAGAACCTTTTCTTCTAAGAGTGTATAAATTGTTATTTCAATTAACTATTATTTAATTAAATTGTAATGGCTAAAAGAAGATTATGTGCAATAGTAGTCAAGTAGCCATTTAACACTACCGTTTTATGAAATTATTCCCTAAATTATATTTTCTGATCAAAACAGCTTTTTAGATTTTACACTTGCAGTTCTAGAATATTGCTTTAATTGTTCTGTTGGTTTATCAGCAGAGCATGTGTAAATGTAAAACAAAATGTTGGTAATCTCCCTCATTTGAAGCCATGCACGCGAGGCAGACACGCAGACAGACACACACACACACACACACTCCAAAGAGTCAGGTTACGGACGCCTTGCAGCCGGCAGAAAGGCCTTTAATTAAACACATCTCTAACGCTGCTGACTGCGCAGCCACATTTAGAATCACAAGAGTCACCAGGACAGATCCACTCACTGATACCAGAGCGTCAGAAACTACTGAGCTGCCTCCAGACCTTATGCACATTACATCAGACTTGCAGCAAACTATTTAAAAACAAAGCAAATAATTGTTTGGGGGTTTTTTTTCAACACATTTTTCTGATATAATGATGTGAATCTTTTAGCTCCGACAAAATCTTTGAGGCCATATACATGATAATATACTTCCAAGAGTTAACAAAATGAACTATTAGCACATGTGCACAGACATACACTAAAAGCACCAGTCCTCGGGCAGCTTCTCTTACCCTGGGTCTCTTCCACGTCAGGCCTGGAGGAGGCGTTCTTTTGTAAAACAGGGACTCGGCTGAAGGAGGAAAGAACGGATCTTGGAACAGAGCTCCTCGTCTCAGACATGATCTCTTCAGCTTATGATAACACTGACCTTGAAACCTGCACACTTTCTCTGGCATACTGCACATGTGGAAAGAAGGGAAGGGGGACAGATACGAGAAAGGAAAACGTAAAGAATTCAAAAGGGGTGGACAAAGGAGGAGAAATATCCAGAGGAGGAGTTGTGGGAATATAAGATGGGGGAAATGGATGCATTAAATATAAATACAACTCAATAAAATAATGTATGTAAAATGACGCATCCAAAATAAAAGTTTGAGTTTACATTATATATATATATATATATATATATATGATATATATTTGTGTGTGTGTGTATAATTATTTTGTATATATAAATACTCACATATGCATGTAAAGTATATATTTAAGAAATATTTGCATGTATACACTTTATATATATGTATAAATAATTTATATTATATATAAATATTTTATATATAATACTGATACATTTTCTTTAATATGCATGTGTGTGTATTTATGTATACTAAATAATAATTACCAGTACACACACATATAATGTAAACACAAACGTTTATTTTGGAAGCGACACTGTAAAAACTAATGCACTTTATCTTTATCAAAAAAAATTGTGGCAACAGATTACAAGCAATATTATTAATTAAATTTAACAAATTAGAATTGAGTAATAATTAATCAAATAAATTCCTTAAAATTTAACCATTTAAAATGAGTAAAACTTACAACAACAACCACAAACAAACAAAAAAACGTATAAGTCACCATTATCGTGATTGGTGTTTGTTTTAGGATTGTTTTAAAATTACGGTTTTCTCCTTCAGTGATTCTGCTTGTTAACATCAGGTGTCTTCAATGTTGGCAATAAAATATATAATCGTCATTGACGATTATTATATTATAGTCGACGATTCGTCAAATATAATATAATAATATAATAATCTTTGATGTCTGTCTGTTATTCAGATATTTTTGTTAAATTTTGGGGTGTAAACTTTACTCATTTTAAATGGCTTTTAAGTCATTTAACTTTTAACTTAACTTTTAAGGAATTAATTTGATTAATTATTACTCAATTCTAATTTGTTAAATTTAATTAATAATATTGCTTGTAATCTGTTGCCACAATTGTATTGATTAGATAAAGCGTATTAATTTTTACAGTGCATTAATATATATATATATATATATATATACTGTACATTTAATTTCCAATAGTTAAAAATCTACATCTGATGTAGGATATTCATTTATTTTAATGCTCTGACAGTCATTAATACAAAATCTTCTGTTATTTAAGTGAGGCTTTTGTCCACATATAGAATCTCTAAACCCCAAATGTTAAGTGTTGTTCTGTAACCTGGAGTTTAGCTTCAGTTTCGGGGATGATTGTAACGGTGTATTTGCAGACGGTGTAGTTTCTTTTGGAAATGGAGAAGGGTTAGACATGCCCTGGAGAGGTTAAAGTGTCAGGAGTCCCTTTGTACCCAAAACAGCTAAATAAAATATGTTTAGAGGTAGAGTTGTGTTTAGAGAGGTTTGATGAGAAGTTTGGGATCAGGGTTTAAGAGTTATTTGATATCTCTTATTAAAGTCAAGCGTGTTCGTGTGCAAGAGAAAAAGGATATGATTTAGGGGGACATTTTATCTATTGGGGTCTGGCAAGGGGCACAGGGAGGCCAGGGGCTGCTGGTATATGAGCCACCTGGGTATGAGTGTTTGCGTGTTTTTGTTAGAATATTATGTGTGTGTGTGTGTGTAGTCTGGATCCACGTTTGCGTGCACATACCGGACAGAACACTCTTGACTTGAGGGAAACACGCTAAATAATTCGAGTATCTTTAACAAAAAAATAAAAAATAAAATAAAAAGAATCCCAACATACTTTAGAAACTTGCAAACGTATTTAGAACAAGTTTTAAAACACATTTTGGTCATTTAAATTTAGGTGCCATGGGCTATGCAAAAAATATATAGCTTAATCATGTGTGAACAGCTTAAAAAACCTTAAAAATCAAACATTCCCTGACTTCCTAGGTTATCTGTGAAAGCCTCTAGACTGATTTTTATGTGAAGGACTCGGGACGTTTTTGCCGGGAAAATCAAAAGAATGAAGACGTTTACGCGAGTGCCTTTCAAACGGCGCCCCATACCTTTCTTCCGTTCAATACATGAAGCGAATGATTATACAATGTGCAGGATAATACTGAAAGAGCCATTCATAATATTACTGTAATATCAAATGTCTCATGCAAAGAAAATAGATTATCTGTCTTGCAAAGCCAGATCTGTATTCTATTATTATTCTATTATTTAGTCTCATAATTCAAACTATCATAGCACTGTAATTTTTATTACCTCATCTGTAGACATCGGTGCAATATCAGATGATTTTCTAAACTGTTCACTTTGTTATTGAGAGGAAACCGCACAGCACATAACGTTGGGCCTAAGTTATTCATTTAAACGTCGCTCTCTGCAGCGTCTGGATGTTAACAGTAGCCTATCACAGCAGAGGTATTTCCAACTTCTTTTTTACTTCTAAGCGAAGAACGAAGAAGAACGTTGTGAGTATATTGAGGCCTTGAATCAGTCTTTTGGTACGTGTGAGCTTATGAGCAGTTTTGCATGCTGCAGTTCACTTAACGGCCACCGGTGTCGCTAATAACAAGGGTTTCTGGATTATGCAAACAGACCCTTTTATTAGAAAAATGTAAACAATTATTATTGCAATACTTATAGAATTTTTTTTTTTAAACAACAAATAAAAAAATATATATGTCCCTAATTCTTACCCTGTATGCTTTTATTAATATTTTGTGGTGGATAAACTTGCAGCATACAGCACTGTTCAGGTTTGAAGCAGATTTGCGCCACAGGCTGTTCTTGTTAGTCAGATGCTGCAATTTTGAAAATCTGTCACAGATCATCAGCTGGACTGAGATCAGGGTTTTGACTGGCCAATTGCAGAAAAACATTCACCTTGTTGTTCTCAGGCAATTTCCATGTAAATTTGAGTCAGCATTTAGGATCTTTCTCCGGCTAAAACTTGCACTCATTCCTGCTATTTAACAAAATGTGCACCTGATATGTGCTTTTTTTTTTTTTTTTTTTGAGGAGTGGGCAATGTTTTACTTGTAGTAGGCTACACATATGTCTTTGAATTATGACTAAAAAGTAACTCGACCACAAAATTCCTTGGACACATTTTCACCTCCGATTCACGACCAGAATAATTATGCTTGACAGTGGGGTTGTCAGGAAATGTGGTAGTTATTTTAATGATTCACATATGGAGGCCAATTGTAAGGCAATCGCATCCTTGTTAGGGCAATTGTTTTTCATCTGTGTAGCTCTTGAACTTCTACAACAGGACTGAACCATGTTCAAGCAACTTCTTATTGAATCTTATTAAATCCCATTACCATGTTAAATTAAATCATGTATATCATAAAATAACATGTTATTTTACTCAAATTTAATTCTTATACTGTGAGAACCCATTTTCATTTATGATCCCAGTATATCAAACTGTACAAACAATACAAAATTTCTATTGAAGCCTAAACTCAAGCCCACAGACAAATAGATATAGCACTCACCTGTACTTCACCTTATTTTTTTTGCTTTGCCTTTGCGTAATATGTTCCTCGCGGCGATGTATCCAGTAATTAAGCCAGTTTCAGGTAAGGCAGTTATTGGCAGTGTATCTGTGTATGATGATAAGTATAAGATTTCGGTCATCAGCCATTTTGCTGAGTCCATGTGTCTAATATAACAGGAACGGGGGAGCAGGTGTTGGCTTTCTGTTTGACGTCGCTGTGACAACCAGGATTTGTCCAGTAGACCAGGTATGGGTGTCCTCGGGTCTTCTTAGGTAAATACTCTGCCATTAATTTGGATTTTCAATATAATATTAAATTCATCTTTATAACATATAAAGTTGTGTATGTCGAGTGCCTTAATATCTGTGTGTGTGTTTACCTGCACGAGGACAGTCGTTTGTTTATGGATGTAACTCCATCCGTCCAGTCTAGCTCAAAACACAGTGACATAACAATTAGTGACACTGAGACGAGTGCGCACACACACACACACACGCATCTGGTTTACTATCTTTGTAGAGACTCTCCATAGACATAATGTTTTTTATACTGTACAAACTGTATATTCTCTCCCCTACCCCTAAACCTATATCACACACAATCTTCTACATTTTTACATTTTCAATAAAAGTAATTCTGAATGAATCCTCATGGGGACCTCAATTTCTGCCCTTTCCCCCTATTTTTCAGTGTATTTGGTCATGCCCTCTGTCTGACCCACAACTCCCCTCTCTCTCTGCCACCTGTCCCGGTCATCGCTGTCTTCCCGTGTCTCTCGCTCTCACACACACATTAACACATGGGGCTTTTCCTCTTTTACAAGTCCCTTAATTAGGCATGCAGCTCCCCCTGCAAACACGTGCATTCATGCGCATAATCACTCTCGCTCACCATTTGGCCTTCGAGTTCACTGAGTATTTCCAGTTTCTCACGTAGGATCCCAGCTCTCTGTCTGGATTTGTCATCTCTCTCATCATTCTCTCTCCTTCCTTCGCTCCTCAGCCCTCCTCCCTCACGGGACCCACCAGAAGGTTCATCACGCCATATCGGCTGTCAATAAACCTGTGGCACTGACACCTGAATCCCTAAGAGGGACGGATAGACACCCCTTATGTAGGCACACAAACTTTAACTAATTCCCTACCAACAGCTAATCCAACACTCTTAGAAGAAATGGTTCTATTTAGAACCAGAAATGGTTCCATCCCCCGCTTAATGGTTCTATATAGAACTTTTTTTTTTGGAAAAAAGGTTCTATTGGTGAAGTATGGAACCCCAGGGTTCTATATAGAACCCAGAGGAACCCTTTTTTAAGAGTGTATAGAACCTTTTAGGGGTTCCAAATTCGGAGCACTGATAGAACCTTTTAAGGTTCTATATAGAACCTTTTCTTCTAAGAGTGAATAAAGGCATATTAACACCAATGAAAAGCCAAATTACTACCAAGGATTTTTTTTATCTTCTCCAAATGGATTTTACAGATGACAGAATTGCTTGAAACTCGTTAATGCGATCTACATGTCACTGTTATAAATACACATCACTTAAACTTTAAATCTGTTCAATTCACTTAAGGACAGGAGGAACAATAGATCACAGACACTGCTTCTGTCTTATAGAGAGCCTAAGTCCCTCCCCTTCCGGTCGACCACCATGGGACCTTATTTCGGAAAAATATTGAATGGTAGTCAATGGCGAGAGACAACAAATATTTTGATCTCGTTTGAATTGTGCCCTGAATTACACACATGATGTTTGTCAATTTAAAAGATACATTTTAAAGTAAAGAAAGTCGCAGTTTGATGTAAAACCGTTGAGGTATAAGACTGTGAAAATACGTAATTTCAAAGACTACAGACCCCAAAGGCGCACATTTTCTCTCAATGAATGAAGCTAACTTTACTGAGGCTGTCTGTCATTGTTTCTACAGTCTTACGTTATAATCGTAACGTTACGCCGTCCTACCTGAGTGTTTTGTACCAGACTGCACACACACGAGCAGCGGATCTCGTTTCTCTTCCCGGGAGATGTAGTTCGTAGAGCGATTTTCACATAAAACTAAATGTTACTCTTCTGTTGTATGACAAACTGTGACGTTTTTGACTTTCAGGATTATCTTTTAAATTGACAAACATCATATGTGTAATCGAGGGCACAGTTCAGACGGGATAAAAAGATAAGTTGTCTCTCGCCATTGACTACCTTTCATATTTTTTCCGAAATAAGGTCCCATGAGCCGGAAGCGGAGGGGCGGGACTTGGGCTCTCTATTGACAGCCAAAAGGTCATGGGATTAAATCTCTATTATCTGTAGTAATGTCAAGTTGGATCTATAAGCCACTATAGGCATGGGTCGGCCTTTATGTTTTATAATGTACTACAACAATGACATTGAGGGAGTGCCTGTTTTCTCTCACGTTTAGTTCATGGTAATTTGATAAGGTAAATGCAGACTAATATTATATAATAATACAGCTTACATTTTTAGGTTACATCGCTCAGCTAAATTTTTTTAACTGTACACATATCCTTTTCTATCTCTTTCAAAATCGTACCTGTAACCATTGCAATTTATGTTAGACATTTAGAACTTATCAGATCTTAATTTAAGACTTAAACGTAAAAAGTTTGAGGAGGCAGGGGAGACAAAAACTGCATGAGAAAATAATCCATATTACAGAAATAAAAACACAAATCAAACACGAAACAATCATCTCTCTTGAGCATCCTTGGATTACGTGCTTTGTTCAAGGGCACTATACGTTTCCTTCAAGGAGGCAAGGAGTCAGTGCCTCCTCCAAAAAATATATATATTTTTTTTTTTATATATATAATATTTTTTTATAATAATTATTTATATTTTTTATAAAGAAAATAAATAAGATGAGTTACTAATAATTCATAAAAATATAATAATGCAAATATAACATAATGTGATAAGTAACAGTCCCACAGGGACACTTACAGCAGGACGCTGCCTCTCTCTTGCCTGCCCTGAGCCAATTGACTTTTAACAGACCCCCGTAATTTGGTGCGGGGTAATTGAAAATGAATGGGGGAAATCACATGAGAGGAGGCAATGCCTCCATCCCGCTATGATTGGATGTGATTGGTTCGTACGATAAATCCCACCTCTTTTTTTTTTCTAACTGTAAAAGGTAAGTAAACAACTGACCCACTTAGATATCACTGCATTGTCACATCAAATCAAACCTGAAAACATAGGCTACCAGTAATGTCTGCAGAGCTTTTTAGTGTGGAATCAGCTTGAGGAAATTCAAGATCGATGATCCGAAAATAAGTTGACTATTAAGAAGAAAAGCTGAACATCAATACACAAATAAAATATATAATTTACATTGTTACTTGCCTTTAGTTGCCTTTAGTTCATTTGGAATAGGCCTAATTGTAAAGACTGCTTAAAAACACTAACTTGATGACGAGATGATTTACTCAGTTTTAATAAATATAGGCTATGTAAAAAAAAAAAAAAATAGCCATAATAGATTTGCATTTTGGTTTCTTTTTTATATAATGTAAAGTAATGTTTATTTGACCTGGAAAATGTGACAACATTAAGTGTAACTGGTACATGATTTTACATTTGATTGATATTGAGGAGAAAAACTGATGACTTTTCCTCCTTCAGACTGAACGCCACAGTACCGGTGTATCTTTAGAATTAGCCTAATGAATGAACCAACTGTTGCAGTCTCCACAATCTTCGGAGATGTTTATCTCACGTCTTAAATTTTCTTTTCCACAAAACGATCAATTTAGGCAAACAAAGTAAGTATGGTCAATTTTGATTTCATGAGGACTTTAATACTGGCATAAAACCGCACTTTCTTCTTCTTCTTCTCTTCTTCTCTCGAAAAATGGCGGATTGCAACCAACTTTGAGGTGCATACCGCCACCTACTGTACTGGAGTGTGTAACATCATGCTATTTAATTGATCTCATATTCTACCCATCAACCCTGTGACTTTAAGAAATTTAAAAAGTGCCATTCTGGTGCTTATAATCCCTTTCCTCTCTCCTTCTGTTCCCAGTATCCCAATCAGATTCCATTCCCGTCCTGCTTCCTGAACCCCATCTTGTAACACCCGTCTTTCCAATTCATATAATATACAGTGTAATATGACATGTTCAGCATTTTCTTTAACCCCACATTTTTCACAGTTTTCACTATTACTTTTCCCTATTAAATACAAAGTGCTATTCAATCCTGTATGGTCCACTCTTAGTCTTGATATTATAATTTCCTCCCGCCTAGTCTTTTCTTTATAATTTTTAATACTGACACATTTTTGTACTTTATAATATCCCCTTCCTTTCGTGTCTTCTTCCCACCATTTCTGCCATATTCTCATACCTTTCTCTCTTATCACTGCTTTTCCTTCTCCTTTTCCGAGTGGAATTGGGACTGTTATTTCCTTCTGTAATTCATCTTTTGCTAGTTTGTCTGCACTCTCATTTCCTTTCACTCCCTCGTGTGCTGGTACCCAACAAAACTGAACATCTATGCCACCCCGATGTAATCTTAGCAAACTGTGATTTAGTTCTAATAGTAAGTCTTCTCTGGCAGATTCCATTGATTGTATACTTTTAATGATAGATAATGAGTCTGTACATATTACCACTCTATCAGGTCTAACCTCTTCCACCCATTGTAATGCAATGATGACTGCCACAATTTCTGCTGTGTATACTGATAACTGGTCAGATAATCTTTTCGACATATTTATTACCGCACTTTCTTTCAAGCCCGATCAGCTTTTGATTAGCTATGCCTAAATCGATAACGCGGTTTTCCAGTTTGCCCTCACTAACGTTACCGTCGGCTTTAGCAGTGCGCATGCTCTGTTCCACAGAAGCCAGAAGACGTGACCATCCTCAAACATGTCGATGTGGCTTTAATTTGAAAGAGTATTGAGTCAAAGTTTGTAAACAGAGGTCACTATGGATATGTTTGCAGTTCTCTTGCTTTGTATGTTCAGCCTCGTTTTGGCAAACCAAGAGGAGCGATTGCCAAATAAATGCGAGGGTAAGAAACAGAAAGTATCTTTTCCCCGTATGTGTTGTAGAACGATAAAAATAAACTATCATAAAACTATCTTAAAATGTATTAAACTTATTCTACAAAGTCCACCAGTGCAGAGATATAGGCTAGTATGTGCACTTAGCCTATGTTTACATTTTAAAATAGCACATGAAGAAGTTATTGCATTATTAATATTTTTTAAGGCATCTGTTGTTGTTTTTAAATAGTTTGTAAATTACTGACGGTGGAGTTGCAGGACGCCCTAGAAAAATCCGGCCGCTCGAAGGAAGTTTTAGAGATCGGAGAAGTTTTGGACACTGGAAAGCGCAGGCGCAAAATCAAATACAACACTTCGTAAGTAGTGATGATGATATGATACTCCGTTCTATGGCAAGCCGTTTTGACATTTAGGCTATTCATTCCCAGGATATGAACAATTTAGTTGATATCATTAGATGTCTACTAGTATCAATGGCATTTAAAAAAATGGAGGTTTTTGATGAAAACATTGCAGGATTTTTTTCCATATAATGGACTTTAGTGGGAACCAAACGGTTCAAGGTCCAAAAGACACTTTCAGTACAAACTGCAAACTGTTCAAAGGGCTTTAAACGATTCCAGACGATGAATAAGGGTCTTATCAAGCAAAACGATCGCTCATTTAAAAAAACAAACAAACAAAGTTTAAGATGCGCGTTAGTGACTCTCCTGTTCAAACTCGTTCATCAAAATGAAATTTTTTTTGAGTCATTTGGTTCATTCAACAAACGAAACGAACGAATTGACTCGGAAAAAGATTTGTTCATTTTGATGAACTGAAGTGCGTTATATGGAGAAAAATCCTGGAATGTTTTCATCAAAAACCTTGATTTCTTTTCCACTGAAGAAAGAATGACATGGACATCTTGGATGACATGGGGATGAGTAAATTATCAGCAAAAGTTTTTTTAAAAGTGAACTAGTGACAATTGGGTGGTTGATATCAAGGATTTATATCCTGGCAATGAATAAAAGTCAAAACAATCTGTCCCTATGAGAAAACTGCCAGAGAGAGAGAGAGACAACCCTGAAGTTAAGGAAAAAATGTAAATCTATTGATGTTCTCCCTCCTATCGCCATTATTACGATTTATTTGTTTCCAGAGAGACACGACTCACTGAGGCCATGGACAACATCTGTGAAAGAATTCTGCAGTATAAAGTCCATGCGGAGAGACCAGGAAGCCTTCGCTATGCCAAAGTATGAAGCTCACCTTAGCACAGTTTCCCCAATCGCATGATATTCTGCCAACCCTCAGTAAAGAGATATTATAGAAGGGTTGCTGACTAATGTGCTGTGTTTGTCAGGGCACAAGTCAAACCATGAACACACTTAAGAACCTGGTGGATAAGGGAGTGAAGGTAGAGCTGGGTATCCCGTATGAACTGTGGGATGAACCATCAGTGGAGGTGGCGGAGTTGAAGAGACAGGTAATACACATTCAGTCATAGTTTTATACTAAGGTACAAATACACTACCTCACTGGATGAGCCTGTCGCCAGTTTCAAACAAGTTTTAAAGGAGACGATCACAAATTAGTGTACATATTACAAAGTCAATCGCAAATTTTTAGGTGGGTGGACATTTAG